AAAAAAAAAAAAAAAAAAAAAAAGAGCTGTGTCGATCGCAAGTGGTAGTGCAATTAGTAATATTTACTAATATTTTACCACCTATAACAAAGGGTGAAAAGTGAATTGGCGGAGATTTGCCAACCAAATGACATAGGAGCGAGCGCCTTAAACACAAGGTGTGGCCATATGCTCGCCTCTGTGCGCATCGTCGTCTGAAGGTCGCATGCACTAGTTAACCACAATTTGTGGCTTGTCATTTTTTAAATTCGAAATGGTAATGTTATTATTTCCTTTCCGTTTTGCACGACCATTGGAAGAATTGTCTCCAGTACTATTTGGCTCATGCTTCAAAGAAGCTGCTATTCTAGCGTCGACGGTTGATTCCTTTGGAATGTCCACCTTCGAGCTAAGTCCCGTATACACTCTCTCGTCGATAGTTAAATTATTTGTATTATAACAGAACAAAGCTTTTAATATGTTAGTAATCCACCTATCTCTGTCTTCTTTGCTTCGTTCACAAAAGAGCAATGTTTCCGTATGGGAGCGTATTTTCCAGCATTCCCTCGTTTCTTCTATGGTCTCTATTGGAAGCTTTATAGTGTCAAATGAAATTTCTTTTACGACATTGGAATTTTGTGTGTCCTTAATGAGTATTCCTGATGAGGACATTTCAACTGCATACTTGGTTAAGTTAAAAATGTCAGTTGAGTTGAGTGACACATCCAAAATGCCTTTGTCGCTGACGGAGCATTCGCGACCACCGCCCATTAACAGATGGTTGTCCTTTTCGTCGTGTAAAATTTCTCCCATGTTGTTCAGCTCCTTGTCGATATTTTTAAATTCTAATTTGTTTTCATTGCTGCTACTGCTGGTGCCACTGTTGTGGGTATCCCTCTGTTGGCTTGTCGCCTCCAGATTTTCCGCATCGAATTCGTCATCTTCATAGTTGTCAAACTCGTTCAGGTCTTCCGAGTAATTTTGGTTTAACTTTTGGTACTTTGGTTTTTCCTGCATGAAGTTCTGTGATCGCAGGTACTGCAGGTAGTTATTTCTGGCAAATAAATTCCTGTGGCCTCGGCAGGTGCAAACGAGACAGATGGCGGACAAAAGGGAGAGGACTCTCATTTTGTAGTGTGCACGGTGACTCAGCTAGCCAAATTGGAAAAAAAAAAAAAAAAAAAAAAAAAAAAAAAGCCAAACTGTGTGCTACAAACCGAAAAAGGGACAACAACACAATTGAATGGCAAAATAATTTAACTGTAGGAGAAAACTGTTTTTCAGTTATTTACAATGTTCAGCAAGTCTTTAAGAAATTCCACAAATGTGAGCGAGCAGTTGGAGTGTGCATATAATGAGGACAAAGCACGTGTTACAGGGTAAGATCATCTTGAATGCTAATCCCCCGACATACCCCTACATATACATACCGTGGTTTTCCTGTGGGTGCCAGTAAAGGGATGAATTTTGTTCATTTAAAAATGGAAACGGGAAGAATAATGATAGAAAGTCATATGTACATACAGAGATGAAAAAAGAGAAAAAGAAAAAAAAAACACACAAATGTGTATGTGTATACATTTGTGTGTATAGAGCTGTATGTACCAACATGTGGGCTTCCATGCGGGGATTCAAAACGCATCCATGCTGGCTTTTCTTAAAAATGAACTCTTTCCATTTATCCTCAAGAATAGAATGAAAACATCTGTGTTGTTTAAACGTGCCAAATTTGTTAGACAAAAAATTTTTCTTGTTTTTGTGAATTATCAGGAAACAAAACATGCATATTGGAATGTACACGTATATATATATGTACACGCACATATGCCTGTGTGGGAGAGCATCCGTACATGTGTAGTTACCCTTGCCCGTTCTTGCAACTTCCAAATTGGGAGCCAACAATTTAGGCTGGTCAACCATTGCCATCGAAATAATTGGTTCTAAAATATAGCAAACACACAGTTGTGTCTTTCAAATTTTCTCTGAAGAGAAACCCACCTGTCAGTCACGGTCTTATTGTTTAGTCGGCATACATCTCCCTTCCTCCCAAACCTCTCTATCCCGCCTAGCGCATGCGAAGGCATTTGAAAGCATATTTTGTGGTACGTAGCATTGGACAAATTTGGGGTCGTCATCCCTGAATTCCCCCCAATTGAACATTTCTTCCCTTTTTTGGAAAACAAAATGATAAAAAGTGTGAAGTCCAAAGTAACGCTGTCTCTTGCGTTTTTTCTGTTAACCTGTTTGTCTCCGCATGGAAAAGCGAATTGTCAATCCCTTCTGCCCGTGTCTTACGCAACGCACCAGTTGTACTCGTTTGACAAGTTGACTCCCGTGGATGTAAAAAGCAACTTGAAGAAGACCTTAGGAAGTTTTATAACTAGCAAGTTAAAGGACTTACAAAAGAAGTTTTACGACTACAAGGGTTATGGAACGCATGGACACGGCAGTAGTGATGAACAGGGAGAAGCTCTAAGGACGGACTATGACGCCTCACTCGAAGAAGAAGTGAAAGCACTTCTAGGGCAGGCACAAAACAAAAGATACCTATCCAAACGAATAAAGGACTCGCATGATCGTGCTTTGAAAAATTTAAAAAGGAGTAGCAATGAAGAAGGAAACGACGAAGAAAAAACAAGAAAATTGCTGCAACATAACTTAGAACAAATAAATTATCTAAATAAAAAATCGCATTACCTGGAAAGTAAAGCAGAAGAGCTAAAAAAGCATTTGAAAAGTGGCAACAATAAAAATAACCATTATGAACATCAAGGCAAGAATTGTGATATTTACAAGACGGGAAAATTAAAATTTGTGGCTTCATCTAATGGATTAAAACATTCTATTGACAATGTTAAGGGGAGAATTAACAACTCTGGTTTTACCATTTTTTACAAAAATAAAAAAAAAATGACATATTTGTGGAATGCTTTGGAGCTACCTATCAAATTAATTGGTAATGTAGAGCAGTGTTTTGTTTTTGCATATAAAAATAATAACCAAATTTTATGTACAGACAATAAGATAAAAACAGCTTCTTGGGTTAATAGTCTGGCAGAGGCCTCCACTTGTTATCACTTTGGCATAAGAGGAATGCTTGTCAATACAAATAATGTTAAAAGTGTGCAGGAGAAGCTGGCTAAAAATAGGAAAAATGATGCGGGTGGTAAAATGTTAGTAGTCGATTTAAAGCCCGAGGAGGGAACAACTCGGGTGTTCGTGAATAACCAAGAGCAGAAGGTGCAGGACGGACATGATGGAGTGATTGATTTGAATAAAATTAAGAAGAACATGGAGGAGGAGAGGCAGACGAGGCAGAGCACGCGGGAGGAAGTTTCCTCTGGGAAAAACTCTGGCACGGATGGGGATGAGGAGGAAATGGGGGAGGCGCAAGTCGTTGAAGAAGATGACAGCGGTGCCCAAGCGAGTGACGAGGATGAAGAATAAGTCGAAACGAGTAGATCCAAGGAGGGAATTTTGTCAAAAGGGAAAATAATGATCATTTGGTGAAACGTTGGATAGAGAGTGCATGCCTAAAACATGGTGAACCGCTCAATCATAACATTAAAAAATCGTTGGTGCTTAAAAAAGCGTATCCCTGTGAATCGACCCACTTGTGTATGCCTTTCCGTGACAAAAGTGTTTGTAGGTCCATTTGTTGAAGGGGTGGCAAGTTCCCGGAAGTAAGCAAGGGAAATAAGTGCGATGAGTACTTCCCCAATGTTTTGTTAAATAAGTGTATTTGCGTCACCACGGGGAGTAGTTCATTTGTCTACTCGTTTGTGGATAAAATGTATGTGCAGCGTAAGGAAGGGGGGTGGTACGTTTGAATGTTCACACGTTTGTTTGCCTCTTTGTGTGTTTATTTTATTTGTGTTTTTTTTTTTTTTTTTGAGATACCGTAACATTTGAACGTATTTTTACGTGGGTTAGCACCTGATTGTATTTGTCTATTTTTGGCATTGGGCATAATTCTTCCCACGTCCGGAAGTATGCAAACAGGCACGCATGTTGATAACTCCATGTGAGCATTACATGTGCACATTTTTCTCCCACTCCCCTTCCGCCCTCTGGGTAGTGTGCTTACGCGGGGAAGGCATACACCAGACTAAGTGCTGCTAACGGCGGTTGCATGTGTTCATCCCTCCACACGTACATTATTACATATATATGCGAATAACATGTTTCAGACGAAAAATACCCGTTAAGCACTTCCACGTAAGGGTAAGAAATTAGTGGCATTCAGTAAAATACTTTTTTTGATCAATTTTGCTTCATGAACATGTTGATATGTCGCACAACACACCCCACATTTCACAATAGGGATGAAAAGTTAACCAGGTGGACAAAAGAAAGAGTGGCAAAATGAGGCCCCCCAAAAAAGTAATGTGAAGCCATGTGAGACAGGGTGTAGCCAAATAAGGCGTAATGTAAAAAATCATTTTTTTGTCCGGGCAGGTAAAATCAGACATTTTGTCACACCGATTCTACTCATTACTTCTGTTTTTTTTTTTTTTTTTTTTATATATATATAATATTTTTTTTAAAAATAATAAAATGTAGTATATCAGTCAGTATGAATTCGTCACAATTTTATAATTCTAATGCTTCAACAAAAATGGCAAGCCAATGCTCCCTTTTCAAACTTCTACTATTTGCCATTCTGGACTCTTGCCCAATGCTGCTCAATGAATATGAATTATGGAACTTTATATATATCGATTTTTTTTTTTTTTTTCAAATTCAAACGAGATAAGTTGTTTTGTGTTATTAATGGGAGACAAAACATTGAGAAATCATTGAAATGGAATTGTCTTATTTATTTATTTTTTTTTTTTTTGAAACAACAGTTGTGTGGGTTATTATTCTCTACTGCCGGGGATATATAATTGGGGATAATTAAAAGGGGATTATCAGAATTTTAAATGAAATACCTATTGGGGGGCTGAAAAAATTAATTAATTGTGAAAAAAAAAAAAATAATAATAAATTACCTGATTTGAAATTTGAAGAAAAATTGAGAATAAGTGGACGAGGTCTTGTTCGTAATTCACCAAACGAGTGCCCGTCGCAGATGCATATTTTTCCCTCCTTTGTAAAAATTTTTCGTCATTTTGGAGAAATACATGACGCGGCGAATTTTGTAAGAAAAGACGAGGGGAGACGGGGTAGTGCTTGGGTGTACCGTTGCATGTAGGTGAGCATTCGCGTGGTTGTGTATGTACACGTGCGCGTATATACACCTGTGGGTATGCGCGCACACGTGTATATACATGTTCATGACCATGCATTCACGACATTCTGACTTATAGGGGTCTGGGAAGCAGTCTAACGCATCTACCTTTAGGTAAATTCTTCGTGCACACAAATGTATTTCTAACAATTGGGTTGTCATTAGCATAGTTCCTTTCCGGGTTTTTTATATGTACCCTTATGTATTTTTTATTTTATTCTTTTTTGCAAGTATGCTTAATTAAATAGAGTTATTATGTGCGCTTTTTCTTTTTTTCTTCCCCCTTTCTATGTAAGCTTGATTAACTTGAGGAGTTGTAATATTCACATGACTGAGCCTGCTGCGTGCATTTCTGCGACAAGCTTGGTCCATCCTTTCTTCTTCGCCGCATGTGCCTGCGTCTAGAGCTGCATTGACGTAGCCTCTACATTTTTTGCGTGCACATGGATTATAATTTTGATTGAAATTTTGATAATTTTTATAACTTTGGAAAATTTGATTTTTTTTTTTTTTTTCTTTTTTTTTACTTCACAGTGTCAAATCTTGGTGCCGTCGTTTCGCAGATCATTTTTGGAGGAATGTTCCTCGGGGGATCATCGAGCGTGCTAGCTGCTGCGCAGAGCGGTGACGGCACAGTCTAATGTGGACCCGTGGCTGCGTGTAGTAGACATCTCGCCCCAAGACTCTCCCGCCCCTTCCGGCACGAACATGTGGAACATATTTTCTAACGAAGACCTCTCATTGAACATTGAAAAGAGGGAAGAAGAAAGTTCAGAGAAAAAAAACAGGAAAAAAAAAGGGTTTGAAACGGCGAACAACAAAAATGGACTGACCAAGTCAGGATCCCATGGTTCCTCCTTCTCCATTCATGACGGCAAAATAACGAACAGGGCATATGACATAAAAATAAAGGAATTGAGAAAAAGTTTCAGAAAAAAATACAGGATAGTGCGCACACAATTATTGAAAATAATCAAAATTGTGAAGCAGTTTCCTGAGGTGGATTCAGAGGCAGAGGAGGGGACGACGAAAAGTAGCAACGCGGAAAAGGGTCAGACAGAAAAAGACAATTCTGAAAGGAACAATGTTGGAGGACATAATGTTGACAAGGGAAAAGTAGGAAAGAAGAAGGAAGAAGACAGGGAAGGCACCACTAACGCGACTAACAACACCACCCCTCATGGCAGTGACGACCAAACTGTCATGATCCAAGTGGAGCTCATCAAAAAACTGAACAAGATAATCGAAAAAATTGATGTAGAACAATTGAAGGCCAAAAAAAGGATAAAGACAAAGCAAAATAATAAGGGAAAAAATGAAGAGGACGGATTAAAAAATAAACCAGCCAAACAAATTTTCACAGCGAAGCCTTTTGACACATCTCCAAAAAATGATTCGCGCAAAAATAACATAAACGTCGTTAAAAATTTCCCGAAAAAGAATGTCCCCTCCAAATCAACAAATAATTTCCAATATTATAATCCTCAAAATATGGATGAAAATACAGGGGGGATGATTTTATTACAGAATGAGCAAGACAGCTTGAAGAATGAGTACTTTCAAAATAGCGGCATGTCTTTTTACAGTAAAAAAAACGAGGGGAATGTGTATGACGACACTGATGAGATGGTAATGACGGACTTTTATATGTACTCTTCTACCCTGAATGCGGGTTCGATTCGGAAGAAGAAAAAGTCCCGCTGGCTGGGGGATCACATGAATCAAGTCACCACGAATGATAACGGTGGGTACGGAAGAAACAGCTACAACCATTTTGGAGGAAATAACAACTATGGCTACTCGGCCAAAAATCACGACTACGCTAGTAGACATTACGACTACGCGGGCGGGAGCCTCCACTGCAATTACGGAAGTCACAACTACGACGGTGAAAACTATGCGAGCGTTACGTACAGCAGTGGGAACTACGCTAGCGGAAGCTACAACTACGAAGCGAATAATAACGCACCCTTTGGAGGCAAGGGAAACCATTTGGGTGGACATAGCAACCAAGAAAAAGGCGCAGGAAACAAAATCTTCTTTCAAAACATGGCGTCCACATCTTATACGCAGAGTTTCAAGGGTGAGGTAGTACCCCTCCATTACGAGCCCCAGAATTTTCCCAACGTAGCGGACGGGTATCACACAAAAAACAAAAACAAGAGAGGTAATATGAACAATAAAAAAAAGGGCTACAAGTTTGCCAAGGATGAAAAGATTAGGGGCTTGCTGCGCACAGCAACGAATGAAGACGATTTGGTGAAGGCCATCGGTTTTGCTAAGAATGCGGGCCTTCACTTTGAGGCCAAATTGGGCAGCAAAAAACTTAACAAGCTCAAGTTAGAGGGTAAAGACGGTGCTTCCCTAGAGGTTTGATTTTGGAGAAACATTTGCGCGCGAGGTGGAAGTACACCTTGGTGCATGTGTAAAATTGTGTTCCTGCCCCTCCACAGCTAATTCACCGTTTTCGATTGTTCCATCCCCAAATTTCATCCAATCATGTGAGAGAACACTCGTATATGCTCTGATCAGAGGAAGAAATAGGACGGACTTGACAGGATGACTCTCCGATCGCTGTTTCAACGTCTAGCGTTCCGTCATTTCTACGCAGGTGCAAGTATGTGTACCACATATATACAAATAGAAGCATATGAAGATCGCATTTTGTTCAAAATGCAATTTGTAAAGTGCGACAATTTTTTTTTTTTTCTAATTTTTTCTTGTTTTGGTATTTCCCATTTTTCGTCACCGTCTCTTTTGCACATTTCTGTAAAGCAGCCTTGCATGTTATATACACGCGCCCTGATTATGTAGCATAATTGCACGTTTCGTGGATGTGCCTACCTGTATGTGCGCGGGGGCTGTTCCAGTCTTTTTAACTTTTCTCAATTTACCCCTTATTGATGATGTGAAACAAAAAAGGAACCTCTAAACGGCGTAACACAGGGTAAAATGGGGCCATGTAACATGGAGTAAATGTGCGTTAAGCGGGAAAGGCCAAGTTACCCTTACATATAAGCATCCGCGCGCATGTGTATCTTCTACATCTACATACATTACATATATGTATATATAGATGTTTATGTATAGATGCGGAACTTTGGGTAATCCTGGGGGGGATGTTTGAATCGCACCTGTTGGCAAAGAACGCCATCGTCAAAATGGGCTCTCTCCAAATTGATTCACACTCTCCTTTGCGGCGCCCTGAAACAGCGGCCATTTCACCAGAGGTCTCGCTGCATTTCATTCTTCCATCAGAGGGTTGACGCTGTTTACGTGTACAAGCATGGAACCGTTTACAAGGCAAAAAAAAAAAAAATAAAAATAAATAAATAAAATGACAAAATTAACAAATAAACGAATTACCAAATGAAGTGATCAGAATAACAACACCTGCTGTACATTCCAAATGCAGTGCTAAGAAATGGGAGCGGAACATTTACAGATGACAGGTCCACAAATGTAGAAAAAAAAAAAAAAATCCCAATTCAAAAACAAGTTTTGCGACATGTACCAACCGGATTTCAGACTCAGTTTGTTCTTCTGAGGATTTTAAAAGCAAGAATTCCCTAGCTGTCGCTAAAACGAATGCTTCTCTTTTACTCAGCTGCCGCTGCCTCCATAAATAGGAAGCACGAAAGGGAGACGCAGAATTGTGTGGCGTGCATACATATATGTGATCCCCGGCTACGGCCTTGTAATGATCATTTTTTTTTTGTTGTTGTTTCCCCCTTTTAACACGTAGAAATAGGAAAGATAATAAAAGGGGAATTAGATATACCCACTCGAATAATGCAAAGGAGAAAAAGACTTCACACAGTTTTACAAACTTATTATGTTTCTAACTGGATTTGCCAAAAACCGAAGGTTTTTTTCCCTCCTGCCTTCAGTTATAACGGGAAGTTTCTCATCAGCAAGAAAAGGTACTCCTTTTTTTCAAAGCTGGTAGAATGTTCCTCCGTGTATGGCAGTGACAAGGGTGTTGATGTCACCAGGGGGGATACCCAGAGGGGCGAAGCAGAAAAAGTTATAACCCCAAATGTGGAGGGGCCTGTAGATGGCGCTAATGCACACAGGCACGACCCTCCTCGGAAGCTGTGTGAAAATACCCAATGTCGTCACACTTATGAGGTGAATGTGAGTCAAGGAGTGGCTAATGCTCTTGCTGGGGGGATATGTAACCCTCTAGGGGCGGAGATACACATAGACCTAAATGTACACTCAGGAGTTATTGATAAGGTGGGAGAATTGGCTGCGAACACAGCTCCCTTGGAACCAATCGAGAAGAGCGCTAACGATAGTGTAATTGGAGAAAAAAAAATCAAAAGAAAGAAAAAAAATGCACCAAGGGCAAAGGGCCAAAAGGTAAAACCGAAAGGTGATGACACCCTCAAGGGAGAACCCCCGAATTGCATCCCCCCAGTGGAGGAAGAAAAACCAAAAAAAAAAAATCAAAATGGGAAGAAAAGTGTAGAGAAAAATGGGAAGAAAAGTGTAGAGAAAAATGGGAAGAAAAGTGTAGAGAAAAATGTGAAGGAAAATGCAGAGCAACATGGGAAGAAAAATGTAAAGCGAAGAAAAAAAAAAAAAGAAAACTGTCAAAATGACGAAACAGAGGTCAACACCCAAATCGAAAAGGAACGAAGAATCCAGAAGGACACTGAAAACGCCTCCGAGCAAACAACCCAAGAAAACGAAGGCGAAAAATGCGTGAGCAAAAAGTTTAATAAAGAAGATTATTATAGACAATTTGAATTAATATGTAAAAGCAATAATATCATCATGGAGAAAATAAATCAAGTGAAGGACATATCCACCTTTGTACAAAAATACATATCATTATTACATTTTGGAAACATCTACGCATACAATAATTTACTTTACGAAATTTACGACAAATTTTTAGATGCAGACATTAAGAAGGTGAAAAAACTAATAAAGAATTATAATAAGTTGGTAAAGAAGAATATTCAAAGAAAAATAAAATACTTTGAAGCATTTCACAATTTGTGTCCACAGGAGTACAGCCATGTGCTCACTTGTTTGTTTATTCAATCGATTGATATATTAAAGGATGAAGATATTAGCCATACGTTTAATTACGACCAGGTCATATATACCAGTAGGGATACTGAAGGGGGGGAAACAGAGCTTCATGAGCAGCAAGAGGAGCAGGAGGACAAAGCAGAACAGGCCTTTTCAAATTTGAATAGAAATGTTGACAGGGGAGAGGCGGGGGATGGTACGGAAATTTGCGTAGAGAATGGCCACAATAATGGCGAAGCGGTGGGTAACGAGGGTGGCGACGGTGGCCAAAGGGAAACGGGGGGGAGGGAGCCCCCACGCGCGCTTTACCAGCAGAGACAGTTCAACCTAAGTAACAAAATTGTGTACGAAATGGATGTGCACTTTGACGAAGGAGAAGCGGACCGCCCCTGCGACGTGGACCAAACGAGCACCGCTCACACCATTAACGAAAACAATTTCATCATTGTGTATAACCTTCCCATCATCAACTACAACTTGCTAAGAGCGGAGTTGAAGGAAGCCTTCTCCTTCTGCGGCGAAATAAAGAGCATGGAATTTTTCAGTGACCGTCTTAAAACGGTGGACATAAACGCACTAAATGATCAAGCAGATTTAGAGAGTTCGCAAAATGTACGATCTGCTAAGAATAAAAAGACTGGAAGCAAGAGTAGTGGAAACACAAAAGGGGGGGGAAAGAGCAACCAAGCTAGATGCAGTAGTGGGAACAAAATTCAAAATTCATTTAATTTGAATAACTACACACAGCTGTACGCCATTATCGAATTTTTTGAGGAAGAATCCGCAACCCTAGCCACTAGCGAGTTTTTGAGAATTTTTGGCATTTTTTGTTTCAACAAATTAGTGTATGTAGATAAATGTGTAAATAAAAACATCATGATCATAACGCACCTTCCCTTTCACTTGAACGTGTACAATATATTTTACATGCTATCAAATGCGTCTTTAGTCAAATTAGATGTTTTAAATGGAGAGGTGGAAGGGAAAGCTCCTCCCAAATTAAGCATCTCCAAGGGTGGCAACTGCGGTGAAGAGGATCAGGTACTCGGTCAAAGTAACCACACAGGAGTATCTTCAGATGGTAACAAAGCAATTTCTGCGAACAACAGAAAAAAGAGAAGGTGCGAAATTTGCCTCCGAAAAAGCAACATCCGTATTGAAAGCTGCGATTCAATTTTTGATGAAGCACATGGAATGAACAGCCAAGATGTGTACGATTATATATGCGACATTTCTAAAAAGAACTTTTTACAGTTTAAGAAAAAAAAAAACATAAAATTGGAAGCATGGACAAATGATGATGATAGTGGCACGGAGGGAAAGAACAACAACTTTGAGTCATTTGCCGATTTTTATCAAAATCAAAATAAAAAAATGAAGACAAGAAAAGTGAATGTGCATAATAATGGAAGAATTTTAATTCTCCACTTTGACAGCTTTAAATACCTGTATGATTGCTTGAAAAAATTTAAGCATATTTTTGGAAAAAAAAACCATATGATTTTTTCGGTCAATTTGAGGAGGTGTATTCATCGGAATGGCGCACTCAGGGATTGTGTGCAGGTTAAGGATGGCAGGGTTGGGAGGGGCCTTAAGATGGAGGCCTAGTCGTCAGCAGGATGATGTGGAAAATTATTTTGAAAAAAAAATTAATTTTCTTTTCTTTTTAAACCCCACAACATACGCACACAAATGGATGCTACACGACGCGTTTGTGCAAGTAGTCAAAATGAATTGCGTTTTACCTCTTACGCTGGATGAGGGAGTGATTATCTGCTTGCACATTTTTTGTGTTGCTTTTTGGCCATTCACCCAACGAACGAATGACAAGCGAACGAGCGAATCACTGCCTTTTTATGGTTCTCCCGACGCGATCCTTTTTTCTTCATTTTATCTTTTTTGTCTTTTTTTTTCTTTGTTGTTTTTGTAAAGAGAACCATGTTCGCGATGTACACACTTGTGTGGATAAACGTACACACGAATAAATGGCATACCTTTGTTTTTATTTTGCAAACTTTTGACACTTCCCCCCAACTCCTTCTCTTCTCATTTGTAACATACCGAAATTAGTATCTTGCGTGTGGCACTGCTAATGTTGCCAAGTGGAACTTTTGGAAATGTCTCCAAATGGGTTAGTAAAAAGGAGTAGGCACCGTGGCCTGATCGAACGTTTTACACAGACCGAATGGGGCAGCATAACATATTTTCTGAACCCCCAATTGGTCGCTTTATTTTTTACCACACCGATGTGGATCTTTTTGTAGGGGGCGGTTTTTGACTACCTATTGGGCGTAATTATGATAAATTGTCCACCTCCCCTCGTAACACATTAATTTCCCTAAAATATATGTTAAAAAACAACGCTGTGTTTATAACGTATGCAAAATCGTTAATCCAGTTGATGAACAAAAAACAAAAAGTGAGCATCCCATGATGAGCTAGCACGAAGGGGCTTAAGCCCAATTGGATCAGCTCCTGGAAGTGTACAGTGTCACATGTTGACAGTCACAAAATGGGTATTCGAAAACGTCACGAATTTGTGAGATGTATGGACAAGTGCCCGTAATATGTATTATCCGCCATGCAGCATGTACAACATGGTAGCGTGGCTAAAATGCTGCATGTGTGTGTGGGGTGCTCCCACATTTGCAACAACTTTTCTCCTTGTGGCGTATAACATCGGGGGATGGATGCTGCCAATACTGTTTATACGTACCCCATCTCATGAAGAAAAAAATTTTGCGCGGAAGGGTATAGCACTGACAAGACAGGTACTTAATGGTATGCATAACCAAATGCGCTTTTTTCTTTTGTCAATATTTGAAATAATTTATGTTAATTTGAACAGTTTACAAAATAGAGTAGTGTGGGGTGATAAAGTTACTACGTTGCAAGTATGCATTCAAAATGGAAAAAAAAGAATGCGAAAAAAAAAAAAAAAAAGATACACGAAGAATGAAAGCTCCATAATACGCAGCCCATGTTAGGGAAGTCGTGTAGATGGGAAAGTCCATTTTGAGTGCGTTACCCCTGCAGCACAGGTGCAAAACACGAGCTGTTTTTCCGCATAGGGTTTCTTTGTGCACGTCTCTTCTCTTCGCTTCTGCGCTCCGTTTTGCAAAAAATGTACAGGCGTTATATAAATCCGAAGCCCTCCTTTCCTTCCATGATGGCCCTGATTAATTTGCTTCTTAACAACTCCTTGGAGGAATACTCAGGTAGGTCCAGTTGGTTGAAGCATGTGTGTGCAGTGGGGAGGCGGTCCTCGCCGTAGGCCCTGTAAATAATCATCTTCTGTGCACCCCTCATTCCCATGAGATTTTTAAAACCACCTAAGGGTACTCTACTCGTTCCAGTAACGAATTGTAAGAAAGAGGCCTTTTTATTTTCATCGAATTCTTGGAGGACATCCCATAACCAAATAATTTGAATCGAGTTAGGTGAATAATTGTGATATTCAACATTCTCTTTTAGGTCGTTTAGATCTATGGTCGGAATGCCACTAATGAGTAATTCCAACTCCTTGTCATCGAAAATGGAGATCAGTTTGGGTTGTATAAGCTCTTTGAAACCATCCATGAAAGCTTCTAACTGTTCCTTTATACTGTTGGTTACTTTCATTTCACATAGAAGCTCAATGTACTTGTTTTTATTTTCATCAGTGACTGGGATATTTCTACCATTGGGAATGAGGTCGATAATTTTGGTTTTTCCAAACTCGTCAATTTCGGTGCTAAAATTGATCTCCAAATTTAGATCTTCCAATTTGTACTCAGCAATTTTGATCAGACTGTTGTAAAACTCTGGGTCTACCGATTCTGCATCGGCTGGGAGGATTTTCCTTCCAAGCATGTGTTTATAAAAGGATCTGCAAAAATAAGCATCTATCACTTGCCCATCATAAATAGCCTTTGCAATAAATTTGCCCACAAATTTGAAAAAGTGCAAGTGGTCTGGGTTAATATATGACAGAGGATTTGGATGGTTAAACTCGCTCTTCTTTCCTTCCCGGCAGAATAAAGCATAATTAGGGTTGAATATTTCTTTGGCTAATATAGAGTACCATTCTCGAGTTAACCCTCCTGCATCTACTCCTTCTTCATTTTTGAAAGTAACTACTAATTTTCCTTTTAAATCGTTACCAGATTTGTTCCTCAATTGGTAATATGAATCGGTGAACACTTTTTCTCTTCTTATGTTCAAACGGATTGGTTCGCTTCTCACCCCTGACTTCAGATGTTTCAATTTCTTTCTCAAATAATGCCTCTTGTTTTCGAAGTTGATGCAGGACGAAGTCAGCTTAATGAGCGACTTGAAGTTGTGGTGTAGTAGTATCGGGGTTTGCTTGATGAGGCTGTTAATTACCCTCCTGTTTATGTACACGAATTTGATGAGCTTCTTGTGTCGGCTGCTGATGCTTCCTTCGTTGTCCTCCAGTTTAATCTGTATGTACTCGTCGTCATCGTTGTCGTCGCCATCGTCATTGGCAGTATCACGGAACGCACGCATCATCATCATCATCTCTTCGGCGTCCTCCCCATCGTATTCGTTCGTGTTCTGCCCGACGTATCCACCGTGCTGTTGCACTGCTTCCTCTGAGCCTGATCTGCGCTTTGCAAACTCATATGTTCCACTTCCGCTAGCTTCCACGGCGTGGTCACAATTTTGGGAATTGCTAAATGTACTCTTTTCGCCTGTTAGCAATTCACGAGAGTTGGCTTTCTTCTTTCCCTCCTCTGCGTCATTTGCAAGGTATCCCATCATTTCTTCCCTTTTGTTTATCACACCTTTGCCTTGTTGCACGTTCGTATCATCGTCATTACCCAGGTGCTTAAATTCGGCTGTGTTGTTGTCCGCCTCCGCTTCTGGCAAATGTGTCATATTAATTTCCCCCCTTTTGTGTTGTTTGTACTGTCCTTCCCTCTGCAACTCTTCGTCTGACGACGCACCTAATTCCTTCATCCTTTTCATTTTGTTGGACATGTTGCTATGGACCCGACTGGCAGTATTGAACTTGGCCAATTTAAGGTCCCCCTCACCGGTGGAATCACTCTCCGACACCCGTTTCTCCTTCTTATGATATATGCTAATGTAAAAGGGGCTATCGTCACAAGCCAACTTTTCATTAATTTTTATACTTTCGATGTTTAAATTAGCGACTTTTTTTTCCAGGTCTTTAAATTTTTTCAACTTATATTGGGATACTAGAATGACTTCTTCTATGAAGAGGTATGCTTCCATCAGTGGTAGGAGATAATTTAAAATGGTTGGGGGTGGATCATCCTCATTTTCTTTCTTTTTATCTTCCACTAGGTTGCTGTTCGCATTGTTATTATCTCCGTTTTGGTTGGCCCTTTCCTCTGCAGGGTTGGCAACATTTTCTGCTGCACTTTGTATGAGGGCTCCTTCTTCATGTTGCGGGCTGCCTGCAGTTAGCGAATTTGGATTGTCCTGTTCTGACGTTTCGCTTGAGGAGGAATCCAAATCGAAGAAGGATTTGTTTGTCTCTCCTCCGAGTGGTACATTTCCTTGCTTGTTCTTTCCATTTGTACAGGAGGGGGTGGACGCATTGGGTACTACAACATCTTCTTCATCCCCTCCTCCTACTATTACATCGTTGGTCTGTTCACGTTTTGGGGGTTGTAGAAGCATGCTTCCATTATGGTGCTCCGTTTTTCCTTCCTCTGAGCGCAACTGCATATTGCTCCTATTGTTGTGTGTAAATTTGTAATTTTTATCTATGAGGGCATTATTGATTACCTGCATGGCTTTGTTGAATTCTTCCCAGAGAGCGTCGATGTTAATGGAGAGGAAGAAATCGGCACAAATATCGAACTTGGTTTCTTCGTCTGTGTTTTTCTTTTTTTCCGTTGCAGGTTTTATTACATGGTCATTATGAGTGTCGTCCTCCTCATTATTATTATCAACACCCTCACCACTACTTGCACCACCACCTGTGGCAACGTCACCGATACCAACTTCATTCACCACTGGGGGAGCGTCCCCATTTGATGATATGCCCACGTTTGGAGCCGTAGACGTGCCATCAGCGCTCAAATTTAGACCATTCTGTGAAGCGCTACTGCTAATGTCCTGGGCACTGAAATTTTTGTTGGCTTCACTTTTGTTAATCATATTGTCAATCAAAGAGGGAGCATTACATAAAATGGTAATGACTCGATAAAATGCAATTAGTTTCTGTTCCAAACTATCGGAGTGATCCACTGCATACACATCAAACGTTTTATTGTGTATGGAGTGAACAATTTTTCTCAAGTCATAAATAATCCTTTTGATCAAAACGTGGGTATGATATTTCAATGTTTGAATAGCCCATTTTTTTAGCTTGTAATGCGAAAAGAGTATTACGATAATTTGAGTGAGTGAGGAAATGTCTTGCTTGTGCACTTGTTCGAGGTTATTATTATTATTAGGTGTATTCGCGTTGTTGTTATTGTTATTACTGTTGATCCATAAGAAATTTGTTTTGTAGTTACAGATTAGTTTGCTTAAATTACTCAGGGCATCTACTGATATGACTTCTAGTAGGTAAAATGGTTTTTTCGTTGAATCCTTCCTGCTACTATCTTGTTCATTTTTTTTTATATTTCTAATGTTCAATAGTAGCTCTCTGTTAATTTTGGATGAGGGGTGGTAGAACTCCTTCAAGTTACTACTACTGTGTTGCTTCTGCTTTTTGGCTTTACTCGTTGTGTTCCTCTTATTGCCGTTGTTGCTTCTTCCACTTCGGCTATCACTCGCGTTGTTTAATGCAGTCGCTTCGTTATTGCTTGCGTCGTTGTTCACTACCTCGTCGTTCTTTTTATCCCCCACCTTTTCATCATTGTTAGCATTTTCCACATCTAGAAGTTCTTCCAAATTTTCTGTGTATACCCACTTGGTGAAGTTGCTATACGTGTACCACTTCTTCCCGCAGTTGATTAGAAGATTGAAAATGACTGACAAGAGATGGCTCATGAGTTTTTTGGAAGTTAAATATATGAACGAATTTAGCAGATTGAATAGGACATTAATTGGGTACTCATTTTTTGCCTTATCCATTTGTTTGGAGTGTTCTATTTTTGTGTTCAGGGTTAGCGAGTGTGGGCTATTCTTTTGGTCCATCTTGGGTCGCTTCCTCTTCAGTTCGTACTGCAAAATGGCCGCCTCGTCCTCATTAATTCTGTTTGTGCTACCTTGCACAGTTTCTTCCTTTTTGCGTGCCAAAGTGTGCGTCATTTCTGAAGACACTTGGGAAGAAATTTCCCCTTTTGCATTATCCTCCAAAAACACATTACTGCTGGAGCCCTTCCTCACCCCCACAACTTTATTCTCGATAATATCCTTGGGCACGAAAAACGCGGGGTGCACAAGCAGCATGGAGAAGAATGAAGTGATGTGTGGGATGGTAATAAGTAGCGACTGCACTTGTTCTAGTACCCTCTCCGCTGATACATACGCAGTGGTGAAGTAGTTATCAGAAAAGAGTCCATAGTTCTTCTTGTTAACGTTATGGTAAAGCATTTTGGGGGGGAAATTTATAGCCTGTCGCAGAGCTACCACTCGAGGGGAATTATTCTTCCCATGCAAGTCCACAGAAGCAGACCATAAAATGTTCATAAATAATTGCAAAGCACAAATTTTAGTCTTCTGATACGAACATGTTAAATTGCAAAAAAGGGTAAACATGATTTTTTTGTTGATTTCTTTTTTTAAAAACAGTAATCTGCAAATGTCAATGAGGGCCTGTGACGATACGGGTTCTTCTAAACAAACATAGAGGGCGTTATTTTTGGAGCTATCTGAATCTGCTTTGTTCTTGGTTGGAAATAAATTTTTTAAATACTTACTTAACGTTATATCATCTTCCTTGTCTGCAACCTTGTCGTCATTGAGGAGATTGAAATTAGGATCCACTGGATTCAATCGATTATCCTGGCTAAAGAACAGTCTCGTTTCGTTCATACTATTGTTTCCGCTACCACCCGTATTGTTATTATTATTTCCGATGCGGTGACTTGCACTCAGGTGACCATTCCCTCCTGCGCCTCCACTATTTCCTGCGTTGTTCCTACCATGGCCACTGCTACCTCCATTGTTATTTCCACTGCTGGCGTCCTCATTGTTATTTTCACCAACTGGGTTCGTCGGAATAAGGGAAAAACTGGCGCTAATATTTGCACTGTCCGATAGCGGCAGGTTAGAAATTGCTGCGTTGAAAGATCTACCACCAAGAAAATGATCCAAGAAACGAGAAACGGTAAGACTGTCATAGTTTTCATGCCCAGTATTAATCATAATTATAGGATTGTTATTCTCGTTGTATGTTATTCTGATAAAGTTGTTCCTCTGCGTTCCTGAGCTCAGCGAGTTTCTTAGTGACGCATTCAAACGCCTTCTGTTGTTGGCATTGGCTCTACTAAGTACATTAAACAGCGTCATATTATTTTGTGTATGCCTGCTGTTTCCACTGCTAATTACTGGAACATTATTATTGTTGTTGCTGCTTCTGTTGCTGTTGCTGTGACTGTGTTCACTGCTGCTCATGTTGTTTAGGTTAGACACGGCGTTCCTCAAAACAGTGTTCGTTATTCGCTCCTGAATGTCACTTCTGATTGCGTTTAATCTGGTGGACGACACATTGGTGTTATCCGTTTGCCCATTCGCGTTCGATGCGCCGCTGCCGGTAACGTTGTTGTTACTGCGATTTACGTTGTCACTGACACCAACTGCATTGGCTTCGTTTGCACCAATTTCGTTCGCATTCATTCCACTCTCGTTTGGCCCACTTGCGATTCCTCCGCCGCTGCTAACATTTCCTGCGTTGCTTCCTCTAATGTTAGCACTCGTATCTGCGTTATCCCCATCTGTGACCGCGTTGGGGGCGGCGTTTTGCCTGGGTCTATTATTACCATTTAGCATATTCGATCGACTGTTAAGAACCACGAATCTTAAATTTCTTGCCTCTTCTATCATTTCTTCCGTGAGCGTTCTTATGAATCTTAAGCTTGCGGAGGATAGCACGTCTCTCCTCAGCTCCGGCGTCAAGGAATCTATAAACGCAATGTTCGTTTCGTCTTGTGTTTCGTTTCGCTGGCACCTGTTGCCTATTATTTTCTTCTTGATTTCTGCGCGAACACTTGAGGGCAGCGCTTCCAGGTAGCTCTTTTTTATGCTGTTGTAGATGAGCAGGTTTTTTTCGCCTTCGCTCATCGTGGGGGTTTCCCCGTTGGTAGCAGTGGCACCACTTGGGGCGCCCACTACTGGGAGACCATGCCCCTCACCTGTGGCATCATCATTATTTGACACTTCCTGCACAGTTTGTCCTCCCACCGGATCCGTTAATGCACCATTGTCGTTGTTACTCTCAGCGTTTCCTTCTTCCACATGTGCAGTTGTAATATTGCTTGCACTGGGATCACTGTCGTTGCCATTTTGTTGATCTGTTTGCGCAACGGCGTTTTCGTTATTGGTGTTCGGTTGCTGGTCTCCTGGGCTCGTCCTGCTAAACTCCTGAAACTTCTGATACTTCTTGTACAGCTCTATTGAAATTTTTTTATCGTTTTGGGCATTTTCCTGCGCCAGTTCGTTTACACCCGCTAGGGTGATATTCTTCAAATGCTGTAAAATAATTTCGTCGATTAAATTGCTTGGAAGTTCAATGAGGAATGATCTATCTACGTTTAGGAGTTGGAAGAATTGGCCTTCGGTTATGCCCAGTGCGCAGCAGATTATGAGCACCGATTCGATTTTCAGGACGTTGTCGAATAGTTGTTCGTAGTTAATGTTTTTGTAGTCTTCCTCGTTGGAGATACTTTGGTCAGTGTTGTCATTATGTTCGTCCGTTTGGTTTGGGTCAGTTCCGTTGTTCTGATCTGCACCCATTAGATCACTCGTGGGAACATCGTGGTTGGCACTGCTATCATACAAAACGGGTTCAATATGTGGGTCGGCTGTTCCAGTTGGTGGAATGTGCACTTGGGCATTTTCACTGAGCGTGGAATTTGCGTCTGGGGAAGCAGCGTGGTTATCGCGTTGTTTATCTTCCCTGTGGGCGTGGTTTTCCTCTACGTTTTCTCCTGTGCCCTTCCTTTCTTCTTCCGCCTGCACCTCAACCTTCTCTTGCTCCTCCTTCCAAGGCACTTCTCCTTTTTGGAGGCCATTTTTTTTCGCCTGTTCCTGTTTGCTCGCCTTTCCCTTCTGTGCTTCCTTTTTGCTTCCATGTTCTTTTTTCTCTTCTACCTTCTTGCGCATGCTTTCAATTATTTTTTTCTTTTCCTCCAGTAAATTTTCGATGGGTAAATTTATATGAACCTTCGGAATGGCCTTGCACAATCTGTTGTACATCATGTTGCAGATGCTACTTTTTAATTTCTTATCATTATCGAGGACGGTGTCGACAAGGCTAAACCTTTCTTCCTTCGCATCCTCGTTCTTTTCCTTAATAGTGTTGCCGCTTTTGATTTTATTCGCTATGGTGTTGTTCACCTCGTTCTGCACGTCGGGGTCATCCTGTAAGGAGGGGCGGCTTCCATCACCCTGGTTGCTGCCCACGTTGGGGGCGTCGTTGTTGCAGAGCTCGCTAATTACATCCCCCACAGGTGCTTCCCTATTCTCTGCGTTCATCACATTTGCACTGTTCACTCCCTCCACAACAGAAGATTCGCCCCTTCTACCCAAGTCATGCAGAATGGGATTCGAATTCCTTGTGTAGTTAATATTATTATCGCTAATGTTGTAGTTTCTAATAATGTTAAATAAATTTCGAAGGTTATGGTTCGTTTGGTTCATATTTCTGTTCGCGACGTTATTGGATCTCATACTTGGACCGTTGTTAAACATGGGGGGGGGATAGAAGTTGTTAACTCTGTCGAGATTTAGGTGGTAGTATGTACAACTACTTTCGTGTAACATGTTGCTGTTATCATATGGGCTGTTCTCATTTGGGATGTTTCCGCTTATGTTGAAATCTTCGTTGATTGCTATGGGCATATTAATGTTGTTATTTCTTACCCCGTCGGGGATGTGCACAGCGGCGGTCAACATGTTGTTCAAACGTTCGTTTCTTCTTCTATTTAGTGTTAACAAATTAGAGCACAGATTATCCATTAGGGCAAATATGTTAGTGCTCGTTGGGGTGTAGTTAACGGTTCCGTAATTATCCATACTGGTGCTTAGCAGCGTTCCTTGCTCCCGATCGCTTAACTCCATCGGGGTGGTATCCACGGGGGCCAATGCCGTTGGGCTGGTTTCATTGGTGGGAACTCCAGTCGTAGGTACATCCATGCCGCTCGCAGCAGCGCCGTCGTTTGGATCAGCAGTAGGTCCACTGGGCAACCCACTCTCGCTACTCTTCACCGCGGACGGGTGAATGGTGTCCGTTTCGTTCAAATATAAAATGCTGTTATTTTCCCCCAGCAGGGTGTTCACATCTCTGTTATTGTTGTTGTAAAAATGGTAGTACAAATCTATCAAGTTAATATCATTTTCACTTACACTCGTTATGCTAGTGGTTCTTTCCGCGGATAAGCTATGGTTTTTATCAGAGGCACCGGCCGACGACTCGATCTTCTTTCCGCTTTCTGTTGTAGAAGCATTCGCACCTGTGGATGAGCCTTTTGTGTTTTCTTCCTGCTTAACAATACCAGCTGTTGTGCTGCTAACACCGAGTTTATTATCTGCTCCTCCTTCTCCACTTCCTACCTCATCCTGTTCGTTAATCGGAGCAACGTTGTTCATTTCGTTCTTAATCATGTTCCCATTTTGAACAACGTTCACGCTTTTATGGATCCCTTCGTTCATGTTCGCAGGGAAATGTGTTTCCCCCGGAGCACCACTAACTGGAATTTGGAAGCTCGTGTCTAAATGTGCGTTAAGTAATGCATTGACATTATCATTTTGCTCTTGTCCATTATTTATACCCACGTGAATTCCGTTACTCTGTAGTTCATTTTGCAATTCGTTGTAAACGCCTTTGTTCTGTGTGTTGGTCATATTAGTAGCGCTAGATCCGTTTAGTCCGCAGGTACCCTTTTTTCCTTCCGATGGGGACTCCACATGGGCATTGTTCAAACTGTTTGTTATCATCCCATCTGAGGTGGCGCCAATTACGTTATCATGCATTGCTTCTCCTTGGCCCATGTTGTCATCTCCTCCCCTGTGAACTGCATCCGTGTTGCCATTTTTATCTCCACCACCATTTGCATTCAGGGAGGAAGACATTCCCACGTTGTTATCACCGCCCATTTGTGCACTAGCCACGATGTTAATATTGCTATTAGCAAGTCGGTTATTATGTTCCCCGTCGTCCATGTAATCATCGTTGTACTCATCTATGTCGTCATTAATATTATATACACCATCCTCTTCCATCAGGATATCCAATATTTCGTGTTGATTTTGATTACATGTGAGAAGAGAATTGTTCACATTCATTTCTGTGTCGATTAGGTCTGCGTTGTTATTCGCTGCTCTTACGTTATCATTCGTTTGGCTAATTCGGAAGGTGCTGCTATTTCCGTTGATTTCTTCCTCTTCCTCTTCTTCGTCCTCATCATCGTCCTCCTCGTCATCTTCATCGTCATCATCGTCATCATCGTCCTCGTCATCTTCATCATCGTCATCATCGTCGTCCTCATCTTCATCATCATCGTCGTCGTCCTCATCGTCATCATCCTCATCATAGTCCTCCGTTTCATCAATTTCTCTGATTCTATGGACCCCTTGCTCTTCATCCATATCGTTACTACTGTCTGAACCCAATTCCAAATTTGAGACGATGTTATTGTTGTTATCCCCCATGTGTGACATGTTTTCTTCATTTTCGTCCACCTCGTGGGGGAGTAACAGATTGCTGGAGTTATCATAAATATTGTCCTCATCAATGACGTTTCTATCTTGGACGAGGTATGCGTGTACGTGTAGGCCTCTATTAGTATCATGTTCGTTTCCGTTTCCTTCTCCATCATCCTCTTCTTCCTCCTCCATATCGATTTCGTCGTATTGTTCTTCCTCCTCCATTTCTTCATCGTCGTCTTCCTCATCATCGTCCTCGTCGTCATCCTCATCATCCTCATCGTCATCATCGTCGTCCTCCATGTCATCATCATCATCCTCCTCTTCATCCTCTTCAACGTCTTCCTGTTCCTCGTCTACATCTTCCTCTTCTTCCTCGTCCTCCTCGACTTCTTCATTGGTGTAATTCCCTTCCGTGTCGTCCGCCCCATCATTAAGTGAGTTTTCATTATTCTCATCGCTATCCATGTGTGCGCTGCTCAACGTGTTGTTATTGCTACTGCTGTTGTTGTTGCGCAATTCTTCGTTTCTTCCTGTCCTTCTTCTACTTCTTCTCCTTCCTCTTCCTCTGCTGCTTCGTGGTCTATCTTCCACCTCGCCAACACCCTCATCCGCTTTGCCAATATCATCTCCATCGTTCGGTTCCACCACCTCATCATTATTTTCCTCTCCATGCGCTGCTGCATTTGCTTCGTCTCCTGCGTCTTCATCCCCCTCATCATCCGCCTCATCATCTACGTCGTCATCCACATCGTCGTCCGCTTCATCATCTCCCTCATCGTCGTCGTTTGCGTTGTCCGCGTCATCTGCATCATCTGCGTCCTCCTCCATGTCAACATAATCATCGTCCATCTCTTCCTCATACTCATATCGAAGGTCATCTTCATCGTCCTCATCATCATCGTCATCCTCATCGTCGTCATTGTCAAAAATGAAGTGTTCCTCGTAGGAAACATCGGAGTCATCTGAGTAGGGGATGTCTGATCCAATCGAGTTGTTGTTACTGGAGTCTGATCTGAAGCGCACATAAGATGGATTTAAAAACGTTACACATGACATATTCTTTCTTCTTTTATTCCTCTTTATTTTTTTAATTTTTTTGTTCTTCCTTTCATTTAGTTTGTTCAATTTTAGCATGTACAACTTATTGTTCTTTGTTTTTATGGGGTAACCCAAAATGGGTGCGGACGTCAGGACGGACAAACAGCGAATTATGGACGTGGCTGTGTTGGCAAAGTCTTCCTTGGTGTAGTCCAGCTTGTTGAGCAAGTTACACAGAGCCATGCGGAAGTGGGCCAGTTGCTCCCTGCTATACGTGAACATTTTATTGTTGTCGTCCTTCTTCTCAGCCTTGTCCTCGTCGTCGCGATCGTCGCCTCCGCCTCCACCTCCGTTGGGGTGGCCTCCGTTAGGGTTTCCACCGTTGTGATTGCCACCGTTGTGATTGCCACCGTTAGGGTTTCCACCGTTAGGGTTTCCACCGTTGTGATTGCCACCGTTGTGATTGCCACCGTTGTGATTGCCACCGTTGTGATTGCCACCGTTGTGATTACCACCTCTGTAATTTCCTCCATGTCCACTTCCCCCGTTAGCTCCGCGCCCGCCGCGACTGTCATCGCAGTCGTCGCTGTCGTTACGGTTGTGACCGCCTCCATTGTTCCTGGCCTCCTGCTCCTCTTCTCCCTTTTGTGTAAACTCCAACACCTTGGAAATGTACTTGCCGCTTCCAAGCAGCTGTTTCTCATCCAGCAGATGGCTGTTCTCTATCTTAATATTCTGTTCCTCGTTGACCAGCTTGTAAAGCAAGGCACTTACAGCGTAGGAAAATACATCAATGAGGGTGGCGAAAACGTTGTTGTCGAAATTGGTAGATGCTTTCCCAGAGGGGTGTTGTTCCTTCCGTTTTTGAAAAATATTGTACACCTTCAAGAGATGCATAATTTCTTGCACCACTTTCTTATGTACATCATAGCTTGAAGAGTGAATATCAAATATGAGTTGAACAAAATTGATAATGTGTTTAACATAATTGACATTCTTGAATTCGTTACTGTTTAATACAGACTGGTAGTGATAATCCGTGCACTTGGATTTCTCTTCCAATTTTTTTGGCGAGTAGGTCGTGTGGATGCTCGGATGGCTGAGGCATATAAATTGGGGTAATATCCGTTTGAACAAAAATATCAACAGGGGTGTAAACACTCGGTTGTTGGAGTGGTTCGCGTGCAGAATATGGCCTGCAAGCAGTTCCTTCTCCATTTCCCTTCCTTTGTCCTTGCCCTTTTCCTTCCCTCCGCTGCTACCCGCCTGACACGCTCCCCTTTCCAGCAGAAACGGGAACAAGCAACTCCTAAACGTTAACTTGGACAAATCAAAGAGGGCATAGTAGTGCCTATAATTTTGTAAATAAAACTCAGATATTTCTCGATACGTATAGTGAGTGTTTGAGGTCAAATCGGGTTTCGCAATTTTGTGCATTACACTTCCTGCCTCCACTGCTACGTGGTTATCGCCGCAGGGGAGGTTCGCAGGCTGTTCGGGGGTCTCTTTTATGAGGGTATTCAAATCGTCGCTGCCCTTCCTCGATGTAGTATTAAACTGGACCGAATGAGCAGAAACTGATGCGTCATTGTATTGCACACCATGCACAAGTTCATCATAATCATTCAGAAAAAAAGTCTTCATAATTTTGGAGTTAAAGGAATTGGGGATCTTAACCAAATAAACAATTAAATGTTTGAATGTTTTAAAAATTAAGTTGAGAATGAAGAGCATATTATCTGCCGTCAGAGCAAAGGGGTACATAACCTTGTAATCCAGTTCGGTGTCAAAGTTGGCATGGGTACCATAAATTTCCATTAGCCTCTTGTTAAATTGTAGCCTTTCTTCCTTTTCGTTAAGTTTTACTAACCTCGTTTTGCTTTGGATGATTGTGAACAGGTTCAGGAAATCCAGCAGAACGGCCAAGATGTAAAAGTTGTAAAAATTGTTCTTCAGGAAATATTTTCTTAGGTACTTGGTGCAGTTGGCCGTTTCTGAGAGCATGTAAATGGATTTAATGTGTTCCGGTATGGGAAGCACATTCAGGTAGAGCTTGCCTCCTTCGTTTCCGTCGCCGTTAAGAGTTACCGCTTGCTGTGCACTGTTTTCCTTCACCGACTTGCCTTTCTCCTTGCTCAACTGGGTTGCGCCATCATGTAGATTTTTTCCGGGGGCGCCACTCAGCACGCTGTTGCTGGTTGTACTTTGAAACGAACTTCTGCCTTCTTGTTCGTGGTCCTTCCCGGTATCCTTTCCCTTTTTCACCTTCTCCGTTTTCGTCCCCTTTGCAATTTCAGCACCATTACACGCAACTGTGTGTATATTTGCTCCGTTCCTTTTCTCCTTTGTTTGTTCGCTCGTCAATCCTGTTGCGCTGTGTGCGCCAACCGCCTTACCAAAACCATTGAACGAAAGCAAATCATTCACATCGCTAACTTGATGCTGCACATCGCTCGTTTCATCTTTCTTCACATATTTCAGGTTGGGAAAAAAGCATAAACAGCTGAGAATTTCTTCATACATCTGGGGGTTCTTAAAAATGAATGGATATAATGCTTCATTCAATTGACTTAATGATACACCTAAGGCGTTGGAAATTTTGTCATCCTCTATGACCTTCAGGTCGTCCTTTCTCATAAAGCACTTGACTGGGATCCCGTGCGAGAGGAAAAATGACTTGAGACTATATTCAATTCTGTTAGCGATAACGTAGTTGTCGGTGAAGCACTGGATGAGGATGTTTATCAGGATAATGAGCATGTCCTTAAATTTTGCTTGTTTCGAAATGGTTAGCAGAATTCCAAGTCCGCTTCTGCTGATGTTATTTAGGATTAACTCGTTGAAGTCAACATGGGGGTCGCATTTCTGTTCGACAAAACTGACGTAATCGTGCTGCTCATTGTTAGTAATATTGGGGGGGCAACACATTCTGCTACTACCTCTATCTCTAAGGGGTTCCATGCCGCTTCCTCCACTGATAATGGTTTCTCTTTTGTGCAGATCCCCTGCAGATAGTTCCTCTTCTCTGCTGGGCAATAATTCCGCGTTAGGATTATCCCCTGTTTCGTTCGACATTCCGTTTGCGTTTCCCTTATCAACCAAAACATTTTTTCCCCCTCCTTGCATCCTTTGTATCTTCCTTTCCTCCAGTTCGAACACCTTCTTAAAGTTCTTATACACATTTGGCGGCGCATACGAAATGAAGAAAATGACGTTGCTGTACGTGGTGGTCAAGTATTCAATTATCTGCAAAATGCTCATACACAGCTGTGCGTTGTAACCCTTGAAAAAATACAACGTGTCGATGCATATCCTTATGATGTTGTGTTGTTTTTCCGATGACATAAATCGAATGTTTTCTGTAATCATTTGTGCAGCTTGCGCGATTTGTGTGGCTTGAGGCATTTGCGCCGTTGCTGTGTTCATGTTGGATGCCATATTGTTGCTGAGGTTTTTCTTCTCTGTGTGCAAAGTGGCCTTGTCCATTTTGTTATTTGGTGCATTTCTAACCATACTGGTGCTGCACTTATCGTCATTCGTTTTTTCCTCCTTTTGTTTTTTCATTACCTTCTTACTCTTGTCGTTAAAATTGTACAAGGAGTAGTTAATGATAATTTTGTACATGCACATGAACAGGGGGGCGTAGAAGCATGGGGGTTTGGAGTACAGCGAGATATATTTATTCTCCTCATTTTCCTGTAGTGAATAATTGATGGCCGTTTTTTGGTTCACCTCGGAAATATCTGTGTCGGCTAAGTTCCAGTACGGAATAAGCATGCTATACGTTTTGATATTTTTATTTATAACCAATCCTTTGTTGTACATGTGGTTTATTATTTTCTGTTCCTTCTGGTTAGCTTCACCTGGGTTGTTCTGCCTCTTCTGTGTTTGGCAGTTATTATTCCCCATACTTCCGTCCTCCCCTGATAGCAGCATCGCCCTGTTGTTAGATTGCTCCACGTGGGTTGTTGTTCCACTCACGTTGATAATGTTAGCATTGCCACACGTTGGATGCAAGTAATCATTGTCCTTGTCATCGGAAAGGTGAGTAGCATATTTTTTGTGACTTCCATTTTGTGCACAGTCATTCGTATCGTGCCCTGAAGGGAGGGAAGGAGGGAGGCCACTCAAACAGGCCCCCTGCTCACACGGGTCGACGACATTCATTAACTCGTTATTCAGTTGCTCATTCGAGTTGGTGGCAGTTTTACTTGCTCCCATTATTTTGTTAAATTTTCTCTTCCTTTTATTCTTTTCTTGATTTTTCTTCCCCGCATCGTTATCATTTGTGTGTGCTTCATAATCCCCATTGGGCAAGAAGCTTCCCCCCCCATGGGCATTCGAAAACATTTGTTCATCGTTTGAGCTAGAATTGGCTAAACATGATTCGTATCTGCTTTCTGTTAAGAAGTAATTAACATTAGCCTCCACACTCTTCACATAGGCCGCGTTAACTTTGTGTAAAAAGAAAATGCAATAGTCCAGGATGTTCCTGTCTATGTGCAAAATCAAATTTCTTGCTATTGTGTATTTATCAATAATATTGTAAAGTGTGAAAAACAGCATGTACAGGCAAAAGTGGTAAGAGTATATTTCCATGTCCTTTTGCGACTCATATATAACATCTAGGTCTCCTTTAATATACTTGGTTCTGTACATACAACGTTGGGGATCATTTGAATCGTCCACTACTTCACCATCTGGGTTATTAGGCTCCTTACTCTTTGCGTTGTTATTCATGACTGAATTTTTGTCATCCACGGCATCGCTTCCTGGGTACAATACGGTAGTCGTGTTGTCATCACTGTGGTTGCTAATGTCGTAGTTATTGTTCAGTTGGTACTCTGCAAGGAATTCACTCATTGGGTTTCCTACTCTACTGTGGTTGTTCGCACTGTTCATCGCGTTGGTTCTACCGTTGGGTAGAGTAGTACTCATCATCATGTTGCGCATGTTGTTCAGGGCGCTTCCCCCACCAGAGGCACCACCATTCGTGGGGATATTATGCTGGACATTTGATGTCATTCCGGTAGTATTGCTTGGTTCCTGGCCAGCTTCATCTCCCGGTTGGCGGGCGTCATGACCTCGGCCGCTTCCCGTCGTGGCGACACCCCCCATTCCAGTCACACCTGCACTGATCGCACTGCCAATATTGTGTTCAACCCCGGTGGCGTTTCCTGCATTCGCTTCCCCGCTTTGAGGCAAAATGGGGATCACCCCACCGTTGTCACTTGTTAACGCATTTCTGTTTTGCACGAATTTATTTTTATTTCCATTCTTGTTGTTGTCCTTCTTGTCCGCTTTCATCCCACCATCATCAGCACTCTTGACGTTTTTATTTTTCTTCTTATTAAAGTACATGAACATGTGGTGGCAATGATAGAAGGGTTCTATTGGGAAGGCTTCATCATTCTTCAGGGTTTTAATTTTCTTCGAAATATTTTCAATAAAATAATACAGAATGATAATTTTCACATCTTGATGATTGAATATACGACTTTTGTTGGTGTTTTTATCGTGTATGGTTTTTCTATAATGGTCCAGGAGCAGTTTCACACTCTTCTTATCAATGTCAATGAGGAGGAAGCTGAGGAAAAGGTTGGTGTAACCTCCTTCATTAAAAGGGATGGTTATCATTATATTTATGAGCATATTGAAAATATATTTATAAATGAGTTGCCTAAGGAGTAAATAATTATCTTCGTCCCAAAATTGATTGATGTTATTTTTCTCCTCATATGTAAGGAAAAGATTTTTCTTCAATAACTTTAAGTAGTACTGTAGGTATAATAACATATTTCTCTTGCTGTTTGGGTCCATAATCGTTTGGTAGTAGTACACCCTTGCATGTGTTGACTTTGCTTTGGCTTCTTTCAATATTTCGAACATGAAGGGAAACTTCTCCAGCATGTATTTGTCATCTTTGTTAAAGATATCCTCCTTGTCGTTTCCATCTTTGGGGGAATCGTTTAGGATGAGTGGTGCTGGGCAAATGTTTTCATCCACCTGTTGACCATCCCCATCGATGGGGGGATTCCCCTCTGCTGCAACCTGCACCGCATCATTAAGTTCCTCATCGCTAACATTCTCGTTGACCCCCAATCGTATATCAACCAGTCTTCTATTCCCCGAGGTCGAATTTTCATCACTGCTGTTATAGTCAAAGTCGTAGTAGGGGGGTCTTCTACAGACATTCCTTCTCTCTCCAAGTTTATCCTTTGCTATGTTGAAGAAGAAGTCCTTTTCCTTTGCCTTATCCAAATAATTCAAAGTACAATCTAGATCAGTGGTTCCAGAATAATTGAGACAATCATAAATCGTTTTTTCATCAAACCCCATTAAGCCCCACTCCTCCAAAATGTTAACATGGGGGTAGTTAAATGCGTCCTTATCCTTGTCCTTATCCTTTTCCTTTCCACTAACGTTCTTCCTATCCTTGCATTTTTCCTTTGCCCAGAAATCGATCATTTTGGGTTCTACTTCAATCGAGTGATGAATAAATTTTAAAATGATTCTCAACAAGGTGTATATGATATTATTGTTGAAGTTTATGTATATATTATTCTTCCCAAGGTTGCCAATTTTAACACTTGTACTGTTGATGTAGGTTAGCCACATGAATATGTTGTTTGCTATTTCGCACTTGACCGATCTGATCGTGTTAACAATGTCGAAGTAGTCCAGCGAGAAAATGAAGTTGTTGTTGTACATGAATGTGTTTTGTGATTTGTGTTTCGCATTTTGCGCGGGGGTCGTGGTGGTGGTAGCATTTTCTTCCTTCGCATCATTTGATTCGTTGTTACTTTTGCTAAGTTCCGGAGTGTCCTGTTTCTTTATCTTCTTCATTTCACTCGAATTGGGGAATGCGTCCACTTGTACACTTTTCTCGTTTAACTCGTTTGTTCCTTCCACTTGTGGTGTCAATAAATTGGCCTCTTCACCTTCGCCATTACTGCAACTTTGTGCGCCATTGGTGGTGAGCAACGGGTTACTCTCGTGCGTCTTTCCCTCCGCCACTGTCCCCTCCGCTGCCGTTCCTCCTCCCATGTTGTACGTGGCCTTTCTCTCCGGGGAGAGGTTCTCAAAGTCGTTGTGCAAGCGCGTGAGGGGGTGCAGCATCTTGGAGCAGAAGAGCATCAAGTTAAATTTGCCAACGTTGATGAGGCTGACGAAGAAGTCCAGAAAGGCGCTTATCCCTTTAATGACAATTTGCAGGTAAATCTTCAGGGTACTAATATCAGCACCAGCATAGTATTCCATAATTCTGATTAGGTAGCGAACAAAGTAGGTGTTTGTGCAGGTAAAATTCTTGCTGATGTGAATTGGTATGTAAGTAACAAAATTCGTCTTCAGGTCTTGTTTGTTCTTCTTCATCTCCTTCTTTTTGTAGTATAATGCAAGCAGGGATATGTATACGCTCATCACATAATTAAACATGTTGAAAATGAAGTCGAACGTTCCCACTTTGTATAGCAAGTCCAGGAAATAAAAGTAGCTAATAAATTCGAGTTTGTTATCCGACAGTAGCTTGTGCAAAATGTTGATGAGCTCTGCGATGTACTTCACTGTTTTCATCGGGCTGTACTGTTCTATGCTGATGTTCACTGGGGACAGTTTCTTTTCCTTGGGCATGTCGTTTACTCCTTCCTTTTCGCTCGAGGCGGCGTTACTGCTACTTGGGTTGTTCTGCGAATTCGCTTCGTGACATGTATTACTTGCTGCGTTCGACTCGTTTGCGTTATCCGCTGCACACGCTTCCCAATTGAAATTATCGTTGTGGTGGACCACGCGGTAGGACCCTCCAGGCTTCCGAACGCTCGTGCAAATGTACGACTTGTTATACTTGCTCAAATCGTGACTGGGAATGCTTTCCCGGGGATGCCTCAAGTTGTACGATTCGTTCTCTTCCAGGTGGCTTCGGAACGCGGCCACATTTCCATTCTGCGCTGGTCCCTTGTCCGCTGGCCCAAAGTGCCAATCATGTTGAAGGTCCTTATTCGGCACCACGTCGATCAGGGAAAAGTTAAAGTTGTATCGTTTGAACAAAATTTCCTCCATGTAGAATGGTTCTGGATAAAAATTTTCTATCTTCTTTACATGGTGGCTGGTGAAGGAGGTGTATGCATAGTCATACAGGTTGAGGTTTTTCTTCTGTGAGTCCCTTTCCGCTGCATTATTGGCGCTACCACAGGAGGGTAAGTGCTCCTTGGAGAGGTTTTCTTCCGCCATGCTTCCATATGAAAGGTGGTCCATATTCGTTCCAACCTTGGGCCATTTCCTGGCTCCGTTCTTGTAGGCACTTGGCCCGACTGAGTCAGGCTTTACGTTGCCACCTCCGCTGTTGTAGCTGTAGAAACTGTTCGCACCGCCATTCACCGTGACGCATGAGGGCGTTGCTGCGGTCACTGCTGATGGTGACTGCGCCCCACTGGGCTCGCTCAAATAGCTGACCTTCTCCGCCGTTATATGGTCAGACAACACTCTGTACACGCTTTTCGCTGCGCCGCCCGCGAGGTAGGGGTTCTCCTGAATGGGCTTGCTCACCAGCGGTACATTCATCATGCACTTGGTTAAACATCGAATGATGCACAGAATGTGCTTCTGCTGGATCACATTGTAAAAGATATAGTTCGGGCTGGGCTTCAACTTTAACTGCCTCGTATGGCAGGCTAGATTAATCATGATAAAAAACTTTTTAATTACCACCAGCAGCGATCTGAGGCTTTCGCACAGGACGTACTTGGAGTCATACGCGAGGCGCGTGTGCATGTGTATGTTCTTGTCCTCTATGTAGTAGTCGTTGTATTCGCTCTTAGCAGCGCCACTGTCGTTACCGCCAATGCTCGAGTCGTTATTTACTCCCCCACTCGTCTGTTGTTTTTTCTCCGCAAAGTTACATTCCATACAACTGCCGCCGCGGTAATCTGCGTACATATTTGCAATGCTTTGCGCATTTAAGTGGCTCTTTTGAACACCTGGGGAATCGGTCTCAAGAAGGTTGCTGCTGGAGAGCGGGGTCTCCTTCACCGTGCTGCCATGAGTTGCTATATTATTAGAGATAAGGTTGGTTATAACCCCCGCGTCGTTATCATTTCCACTTTGCGCCAAGTGCAACATATTTTTCTTCTTCGCTACTTTGAACCCGACAATTGATTCGTCGGAACTTGAAAAGTATTTTTGAAATTTCGTCTTCTCCTTATTTTTAAAAGCTACAATGTCCGATGGCATTTTCATACTTTTATTCACAAAGGTGTTAAATTCACTGAGGACCTGGGAAAAGGCGTATTTGTAAATGGCCTTATACACCTTGTCATCATTATCTAATCCACTGAGGTGATCGGTCATTTTGTAATCATCTGCATTGTCGTGGTCACAAATGATATGTGTTTTTCCCTCATCTTTGTTCAATACGTACAGGTTGTTATTAATCGAATAGCAAAAAAGGGAACGACTGGATCCGAACAAATTGTATAACAGATAATCTGATTTATTTTGGCTGTTTCGAAGTGTTCTCTTGATGTGTTCATGGATACATACCTTATCCTTCAGATGCAAAAACATGTTCTGATTTAAGTCATTCGTCTGGTAAAAATATAATGTAAAGTAAAAGTCGAACACACTTTCTATCGTTATGAGGACATCTGAAAATATTTCCAAGATTTTTCTGTTTGACAATTCTGACGGATCGTACAAATTCTCCTCGTTGGCGTAGAGCCCCTTGGAGTCGGTGTAAGCCGAGATTAGGAAGTACAGAATGTTGAAGAGCTGCGTGATGTTACATAGGAGGAGCTGGTTACGGTCGATGAAAGGCCCAGCGAAGAAGTCCTTCCTGAGGTACTTGCTTCCTCCCTCCAAAGGTTTGCTGGCCGCTCCCACAGATCCAAACGCTTTGTTCGCTTCGCTCCCTTGCCCTGCGCGAAGAGCAGATCGCTTAACCACGACAATATTGTCACCCAGGTCGAAGTAGAACGAATCTAATAATAACAAACTTACGTACTGCACATACGAAACGAAGTTGTTGTAGTTGTACAGAGGGTAAAGGAACTGATTGTACACATTTTTGAAGGAGGCATACAAATATATCTTCATGACAAACGTGTAAATGGAGTGATACTCAAATATGTGAATGTAGTTGGGCGGTAGGCTTATCAGGTTTGTGTAAGCCATTAAGAACTTGAGGCCATTTAACTTTAACAATGATTTAATCCAGGAGGTCTTCATATAGGACAGGATACATCGACACAGGATCGATAATCTGTCCAAGAAAAAGTTGTCCCTTCTATGTTTATATCGGTCTATGTTGAGATCCTTTAACTGCACATGGTGTAACTGCTTTACTGACCCCTCTACATACTTTTGTACGTAATCATAATCCAGGCATTTCCAATAACCCAAGTTTAGACCCTCCAAATATAACTTCTTCAATAATTTCACATGAAAGGTAAGGAAGTCTCTCATCACGAAGCCGTAATTCTCCAGCTCGTTGATGATATTTCCAATAGAAACAGCTATATCGCCAAATCTATCGAAAAAAAAATAATCTATTTTGATCATATAATGGAAGAGGTTATATATGGGCGAGTAATTCAACTTCCTCATGGCTGACTTTCCAATGCTGTGAATAAACATTAGGGAGAGGAGGGATGGGACATAGATCAACACTGTTTCGTCTTTCAAATTATCCTCCACTATGCTGTTTAATAAAATGTTCAACAGACCCTCTTTCAACAGGGTAGACAAAATCGTGGGGTCTTCATATATGTGTTCATATATAAACCCTAGTATGTATCCATACACGCAGAGGCCAAATTTGTGTGGGTACTTCAAAATGTACTTAATAATTTTGACGGAGATATAATTATTTGTAAATATGTCTAGCAGCGTGTCTGTTGGGGAGTAGCCCTTCAACGCCAGGTTAAGCGCCTTTATAATCATCTTTATGATCTTCACTCGCTCTTCATATATGTGCAGCTTCCACCAGAAGGTGAATCTGTTTAGAAGGGTCTCGTCCGTGGCGCTCTCGTTTATGTCGTACGTTTGGAATAGCCTCACCAGCTTTGCATCTCCCCGGGGGAAGAGGCTGTTCTGGGTGGGACAAGCGGCGGGGCGGGCTGTCTCTATTTCCACGTTCACTATATCACCGTTCACACTTCCATGCACCTGGGTTGCCTCTCCATCCTGTCCCGCTCCCCCTACATAACCGTGGGCCTGCTCCTCACTCTCCACAAATGTGCGGTCGTACCCGCGGTAGTCGAAGGGCTCGAAATAATACCTCAGAAAATGCTCCCGATTCAGGTGATAAAAACTGTCGGACATCATAAATATTTCGTATTGAAAACGAGAGAGTAAAATTTTGTACAGCTCCTCTTCATTCTTCGCAGTGAAATAAAAGTTTGGCGTAAAGTCCAATAGGGTCTCCATAATTCTCAGTAACAAATGAACAATTGGAAGATTGTTCGTGTAGCTGTCTTGCAAATACAGGGGAAAAAATTTTAGTGTGTTCTGTTGCGCTATGGTAAGAATTGGGCATGGCTCCATAATGCACGTATGGTATAGGGTTAATAATTGTAACATCATGGATACTTCCTTTTTCTTCTTTTTAAAATCTTTAAACATTTTTTTTGAAATTTTTATAAATTCACTTTCTCCATTTTTCTTGCAATTTTTTATATTGCTTATAATTACGTCTTCACTTATATAATTTTCGTATTGCGTTTCTTCCTTGAATCCGTTTGGGTCCCTCGGTTGGTTGCTTAGCCTGTTATCTGCAGTACCACCAGCCATGAGGTCAACTTCCTCGGCGTTGTTCATGAAGTCGAATATATTCAAGTTACTGACGTTGGGGGGATCCCTCATGTGGGTGGAATCCGCCTCATTATTCGTATCTCCTTCATTGCTCATGTAATCAAAGATGTTAACATTGTGTACACCATTTATATTCCCACTGATGGGTGGATTGTTCACGAATGGGGATATGGTCCCCATCACTCCTGCGGGGTCACCATAATCGATGCTGACTGGGTTGTCTTCTCCTCGGAACGCGTCCGCATTGAATATCGAATTGTTGTTAGTGGTGATTAACTGGTTGGAACCGTCTGCAGCGGTCAGAGAATTTTCTGCCTCCCTTTGGGTGGAATCCTGATGATCATTTGCGACATGGGTTACTGCCTCTTCATGTGAGGGAGCACCACTTTCGGGGTGGTGACTGTTCTGTGGCCTGGGATGCTGCTCCCCACCTTCATTCGGCAGTAACTCACTCAGGGAGCTATAAATACTTGTCCGCACCATAACGTTACCGCTGCCAGAAGTGTGCACAATTCCGCCCTCCTGTGGGGGGGAAGATGTGCTTATGGCCTTGTCCTCTTGAATTTTTTTTAGGTATAAAGTGTTGATATCATTGGTGCTGTACATTTCTACTGGGCTCTCGTTCATAATGTGCAGAGGGCAGATATCCTTCTGCACTGTATAAGTGGATAAAAAATAATTCAGGTAGTACTTAAAAACGCTGATAAATAAACCACTGTGTAATCGTAGGCCCAGTATATCCGACACAACTTTGTAATGAAGATGGGATTCTATCGCCGTCGTCAGCAAGTCAAAGATTATTTGCAGCGTGTTAAAATCAATAAACTTGTGATATTTTAGTATGTACAAAATTTCTTGTAAAAATATGGTGTTGCTTGGAATAATTTGAGGATACAAAATAGAGTTAATGGACAACGAACCCGATATAATTAAGTATCTTAAGTTGAATAATTTTTTTCTGTACTTGGGACATATTAATCCCAAGTATATTCTTAACTTATGTCTGAGGTCGAAAGTTTTTTTTTCGTCTATTTGATACTTATTCATAATGGCGTCGTATGCCTGTTGTAGGGCTTCCTTCGCCTCATTATACTTTACCTCCTTGGGGAGGACAGACGTGAAGGGGATCTCGTGATCTTCCACGTTAATTGTAACATTGTCCAGGTTCAACTCATAATCGATTAGGTCTAACAGGTACCTATTATCAATTTTGCTGTACACATTTTGCATGTAACGTTTATCTGTGGAGTCATGCATGTAGTACAGCACTAGGCCAGAAATGTAATTGTTGTCGTTTATCCTTCCTATGTCGTTGTTTATATATGGGTGTAAGAAATTCGGCACAGGGATGTTAATTAGCGCTGACAGGATATTTACAATTTGATTTATTTTGTTTTCATTTTTCTTCGTTTTTTTTATAAATAAGTAATATATATTTAAAATTTCAGCCGACAGGATTGATATCTTGGGGTTGAAGCTCCACAGTAGCACAAGCAAATGGTCCAGCGAGTTGTACTTCGATTTGCTTAGGCAGTTGTCCAGGATGTGGTAAGTGAACCTGAGGATTTGCTCGATTAGAAGATCGGATGGGACGAACGATTCTTTGGAAGGTTCGCTCGTCTTCTCAATGTTATTTTCACTAGGCTTCTCGCTGCTTTTTTCCCCTTGCGCGAGTGCACTGCCCGCCTGTGTCTCGGTCTCTACGCCTTCATCACCTCTTGCAATGCAGGTCTCCTCCCGATTCAATTTATTATGCACGATGTACCTCTGCAGGAGGTCGTCGAATCGATTGAGAACGGGCGCCCAAGCTATCAAATCTGACTTCAGCCACACCCAATCGACAAAGGGAAAGAGGTGATCAATTAGGTTCTTCTCGTCACATGTTGATAAAACGTGGATGAAAAATTTCTCCTCCTCACTGATCTTATCTAGCATAAGTATATAATTATCATCCTTCGGTATCTGGATCTTCATTTTGAATTCATAATTGTCAGTATTTTTACGTTTCCTTTTTTTTTTCTTTTTTGGGAGGCAGCCTATATATACTGCGACATCACCGTTTGCAGGTGTTCGAACAACGCGATCCTAGCAGCGTATCTTCAACTTGAGAATTGTCGCTGCCTACACATGAGCTTCCACGTATGCACTCTTCCGCACGTGGGGTAAACTTTACTTGGGGGAGACACACACGTAATGATAGAAGTATTCTTGCTCGTAAGAACATACAAATTTTCGTACACACACAAAAAAGGGGGACACTTTTCTCTATCCCGAGGTGGGAAAAAAAAAATAACTTCACGCAAAAAAAGAAAAAAAAAAAAAAGAGGAAAACGAAACACACAGAATAACGACATACATTAATAAGGAGAACACACAATGCGTACCAAGAGGTAGACTGTTCGTTAATTACATCAAACACTTATGCTACACGTGCAAAAGGTATGCACGTTACGTAATGCTCACGCGATATGCACAGGAATGATGTTGATGCTACTTATGGATGTGTTCGTACGGGACACAAAAAGAGTTCACTTTCTCATGAAATTTGGACGCGTACAAATATGCGCACGTACGCGTAAACACAAGGATGATGGAGAAACCAAATAAAAACAAGCACAATGGGTAAACAAGCTCATGTATGTTACACATATATGCTCGCGTAGCCTTGTGTGCACAGGGGGCGCTCTTAAAAGGCTATTGCAACAAATTGAGGGTTATATAAAAAGTCTGCGTTTTTTTTTTTTTTTTTTTTTTTTGTGGCGCTAAAACAGCCACGTGAGCGTAAGCAAGCAATTGTAGGTAGGAGTCCACTCACGCGCAAATATGTAGTGCATGCGGACAAGGGAACACACCTATACACAAGTATGCACATGCACGTGAAAACAATACGGACGACGCGAAGTGGTCCAAAACTACAAATGCCTTCGTGCACGGGCGTAGATATGCACCTCTACATGAACAACGGCACGTCAATTTATACAAGCGGGTGAAATGTCGTACGAAGCAATGTGAGCAAATTAGTCCACGTGGACAGGGGGTAACTTGTAAAGAAATAACGAAATGGCAAGAATTGCCCTCTCACGAAACATGAACATGCACAAGTACACATACACATACACTAAAAACGTATGATGTAGATCGCCGACACATATGCCTTTCGTTTGGCAGGCCGTCTCACCACGCTCGTGCCCACGCACATATAAACAAGAACGTACAATTCATACGTGGGGATGTAATAAGTGGTGTGTGGGGGGCTACACAATACGAAGGCAACACTAGGAATACATATATACATGCATGAGGATGTGATGCAGTGAGATAAAAAAAAAAAAAAAAGGACACGCAAGTGTGGCACAAGTGCGCCCGCGTACGGGTATAGGCATACGCACATGTATAGGCAGGCCTAGCCAAGCATATGCTTCCATATACATATAAAGGCACATACGCATAAAGTACACTTAAGCGCACAGGGCACACAGCTACATGTTTTATGATTCTGTGAAGCTGCTTAACTACAAGCTTGCACAGGGAACAATAGGCAAAAAAAAAAAAAATAGGTAACACGAATGTGAAGGGGATGTAACGGTGGATACGACTGCGAAGGCTAAAATGCTTCGTTATGTTGGCTCTTTCTTCTCCTCGACTGGCGAAGGGAGTATGCGGAGCACGAAACAGATGGGTAGGTACACAAAATGAAACACAAAGTGGTGAAAAATGCCACACGTTAAAAGTCTTTGCGACTTTTAACTTAAACGCAACAAGGGACGTTTGGATGTTCACATTTTTGTCATGTGAAAGTTGGTCATTTGGTGTTTTTGCCACTTGATGTTTTTGTCACTTAGCGTTTTTCTTACTTGCCGCTTTGTGACTTGGTTATTTTTTGTTCATTTGCTGTTTCGAAACACTTCAAATATGGAAGTATTTTTCTTCAGTGGGAACGCATAAAGCGTGGGAAAATAAAAAAAGAAATAAAAGAAAGGATAACTAGATGAATGTTTTTTTTTTTTTTGATCTTTCTTTTTCATATGTTACTTTTTTGGTTATGGTAAAAAATTAGAACAAGTGTTAAAAGGGCACGCGGGAAAATATATGGGGATACGCAAAAGTATGCGTGGTGCCATCATACTTCGTAGCGCTTATAAAACTGTACAGGGGGGACTGCATACGCGGTTTACGCTTAATGCGCGTTCCAACATACACGGGTATGCGATGGTACATTCATATATATAACGATCGCCCCGCGAATGGCGGTTCAAACTTAAATAGTTGGGGCGACAAAAGTCAAAAGAATACGAACTTTTTTGTATGCACGGCTTATAACCTTGGGCAGCCAGCTGCATTGGCCCCACGCGGAACCACCCAGTCCGGGGGCGGGTGGGGGAAAGGAAAAAAAAAATGCCTCCTTTTATCATAGGGGGGATTTATATAAGCAGCTGGCTATTATGTATATGTTAGTGCAATATGACGCGTCCCTAACAAACATAATTGTGTACATAATTATATATGCGTGGCCGCTGGCATACGCTTTTTCATGTGCTGCACGACTGTGCCCCGCAGTAGTCGGGGACAGGGCAATACGACTGGCCCCCCCAAAAACGCCTGTATGTGCCAAATAAAATTATGTAGAATGTATTTGCCACGCCGCAAAATAAATGCTCAACGAAAAAAAATCGTATGCTAAAAGTAGCCACCACAACGAGGAGGCGGAACTATTCAGCTAGCTTTTTGACATTTGGAAAATACGTAACAAAAAAAAAAAAAAAAAAAAAAAGCGAAAATGGCTATGCGTACTTATTTTGCGCATACCGCGTGATGTTGAATACGCATAGCAGCCATTCTGCCAATGCTGGAGGAGCAACAAAAGATGAAAAGGGCGAACACAGGGACGTGGACGTGAACATAATTTTCACCCCCCGTCTCCTTGTCAGAATTGTTGACAGATAATTTCGGAAATAATTTGTGCAAGTATTGCGCATAGGAAAAATTTAGTCCTTTTTTCACCCCCTCGAAAAATTCCCCAATTTTTGGCTAATAGCCATTTTGGGTTTTTGTGTTTTTTTTTTTAACCTCAAAAAAAAAAAAAAAAAAAAAAAATACTAAGTTGTTCTCTCCACATCGCCAAAAGGGCTACATGTACTTGTGTGTTCTATCACCAACACTTTGAACAAAGGGGATATTAAAAAAAACTATATTACATTAGCGATAAAAAAATGGTTAAAAGGATGGTTAATAAATGGTGGTAATGATGGCCAGTTGGCCGTAAGGAAGTCGTCTTACCCTGAGCGGGGGGGTTTTGTTGGCAACCCCCACGAGCAGCGCGCACACAGAATGAATTCCCCTGGGTGAAAATATTGTGCCTCACTCTCGGCGAACGTTTTATATGTGTTTTTATCTCAGTAAGAATATCCCATGTTCCTGAGTACCATTCTGTTAAAAAAAAAAAAAAAATGAATCATAGTTGAGATTACCCGCACAAGGGCCTCTCTACCCAATTACGTGTTGCATTAAAGAGAGAAGCAAATAAAAATCAATTTCTATGCTTACCTATTTGGTAGGAAAAACGATTAGCAGGCAAAAGGGTGATGCGATTATATATGCGTCACCGTGGGAGGAATGCCAACACCTTCAATCCTCTAAGGTGAGCGCGCCGGTTTGAGCCAATAATAGGGCGGCTTGAACTTTGAAGTTGGTTCTTTTCCCTTCTTGTACGAATAAGGGGTTGGAGGATTAATAAAAAGGATAAGACAATCAGCATAACGAGGGATAAATTGTTCAACAAATTGGTAAACAAATGGGAAAAAAAAAGGGTAACCACCCTCTCTGCATAAATTAAAAAAAAAAGAAAAAGAAACGGAATCGCTGTGTGAAACACTGACCCTGAGAAGAAAATAAAAATTTCCGAATCGTATTTTACATGGAAACAACACATGATACCCCCATGCTGGAGGTACTTATGGCTCACACTGGGACACGTGTTGATTTGCGCACGCGGAACCGCATCCAACATTGTGTGTGCGGATTAATGGGCAAAGTGGACAAAAAAAAAAAAAAAAAAAAAGATCAACAACACACACAGAATAAGAAATTATACAAATGGGGAATGCACATGATTCTATAAGCCGGGCAAAGGGGTAGGGTTGTAAGGAAAGGTGTACGGACGGGCGTGCACATCCCATGGGCAACGAAGTGCTGCGGGAAATTCTTTCCCAGTTTGGCGCTTTCCCGCCGCTTCTCTGCATCTCTGTTTCACCTCAGAACAGGTCGCCCCGCTGCGAAAGGACCGAATTCCCGACCCTGTCCACTGGAAACATATGATGGACAGTCTTCAAATCAGCGTTGTTGGGGAATTGAAAGAAGGTTACGACGCAGGAGTTAATTTCTTTGCTCCTCTCCACCAAAACTAAGTGGGAAGCATTCCTAAAAATTATCATGTGGCAATTTATGAAAAATTTCGATGTGTTCTTGAAAACTTGAGTGCTACAGATGTTGTCTTTCTCTCCACAGAGAATCAAAACGGGTATATAATTGAGTCCGACTTCTTTGAATATGTCATGGGCGCTCCACATTTTTAAGTTGTT